AAGGCCTGAGTTTGAGGACCGCATTCAAAATCTTAACTTATTCACCTTAGAGGTGATACAGTGGGGACCTTTTTGCATTCTTCAAAATCATCAATGGGGACCACAATATTAGGAACAATCTGTTTAATCCTAAAGCTGTATTGAGAACCTGGGGACACAACAAGAGGAAAGAAGCGAAGGGGTTCAATCTTAGAGTTCGCAAGGGATATTTCACTGTGAGAGTAATGAAAGTTTGGAATTCCCTCCCACAGGCGGTGGTATCTGCTGATAACATTGATAATTCAAGAAACTACGTGCTGAGTTTCTTCTCTCGAAGAATCTACAGAGATATGGGAGGTTGTAGAGCCAGATAAATACACACACACTCGCATACATAAGTTGAACTGGATGGACCTTGGTCTGTATTCAACCTTGCATACTAGGTTACTATGTAAGATAAACCACGTCTACTGGTGTATATACACACACACACTCATACATAGGTTGAACTGGATGGACCTTGGTCTGTATTCAACCTTGCATACTATGCTACTATGTAAGATAAACCATGTCTACTGGACTTCCTCATAAAATATTAACAGATTGGTCTGACGTCAACGGTCCTTCATGAAGCCGTGTTGGTTACTACTTAGGACACCAGTTTATTTTGCAGATTCCTGCATGTAGTCCCTTTTTATCATGCCTTAAAATATTTTGCTCACTATTAATGTTAAGCTGACTGGCCTATAGTCACCCGCTGTATTTCGTTTCCCCTTTTTGTATATTGGTACCGTATTTGCTTGCCGCTAATCAGCCGACACCATACCTGTTATTATAGTGTCCATAACGATTATGAACAGTGGTTTGGCTATTACCTGGCTAAGTTCCTTGAATACCCATGGATATTACCTATCCGATACAGGAGATTTGTGTGTATTTAATCTTTCTAGCCTTTGTATTGCTCTCCGACAGCCACTGAGATACGTTAAAACGTCTGTTACTGCAGCTGATGCCCTAATCATTACCCCTGTTCGTCTCAGCTGTAAAGACAGAAAAGAATGTATTTAATGCATTCACTTTCTCCCTGTCACTGCTAGCCAACCTCCCCTCCACCTGTTATGGGACCTGCATGTTCCATCTTTACCCTCTTGCTATTTATATATTTAAAGAATTTCTTGGGGTTCCTTTTGTTTTCTATTGCTATTCGTTCTTCATATTCTACTTTTGCAGCGCTGATTGCTCTTTTACATCTTTTGTTGAATTCCTTATAGTTCTTGAATGATGGTGACCCCTCTGACTTAAATTTTTTGAAGAACTTATCCTTTTCCTTTGTGTTTTTACTTTGCTAGGTTACCACCCTGGTTTGACTTTAGCTGTTTTAAATTTATTGGCATATTGGAATGCACTGGCAATTTTTTTTATTTAAAATTTCCTTAAAACTTTCCCATTTGCCCAGTGTTCATATTCAGGAAACTGTTATCCCAATTTCTATCAGTTTATTAACGTGTGTTGTAGGAATCTCTGTTTATTTAAAGTTGTCTTTTTTTTTTTTAAATGGAGTGTTCTTGTTATGACATTATCCTAGGAAGCGCTATGAATTATCACAAATTACAGATTATCCCAGGAAGCACAGTGATTTATCTCATACTATCCCTGATTTTCCCCCCCAATAAAGCACAGTAAAGCAGTCCCACAATATCACTCCCCAGCCCCACTCACCTCCTGCTCAGTCAGCCCCTCTCAAACATCAAAACACAGTCCTCCATCCACACTGCCTCCTTCCTCTAGTGTGGTCTCAACACTGCCTCACCACGCCACTCGGTTCTGTTCTCAATACCGCTTCGGTTATTAACCATACACTTGGTTCTCACTCGTTTCACTCTGCCTCACTCGGTTCGCACTGCTCACATCACTCAGTTTAACCTCAGCTCCCTGCTGCTGTTGTTCCACTTCTCTGCTTCCGCTTTTGGTCCAAGGTTCCGCTCATGTGCCCAAGGTCAATAGCTGGAGTCTGGAATCAGGAGATCAGTAGACAGAGCCTGGATCATACATAGAGCACGAGAACAAGCAGAGATCGCTTGGCAGGTCTGAACAAATGCAAAGGCAGAAACCATGTGAAAAGACTCAAGATTATATAGTAAATTAGAGTTGCATCATCATTGTGAGACAGGAAGTTGGCAGGCATTTGCCAGTAGTCACAGAATGATTAATTTTACAGGTTTGGTCATAAGATGGCACCTAAGAGCAAAAGTCAGCTGAACCTGCAGCTCAAGTGGACAAGGAAGGATAAGAAACCCAGACAGCCACCTGTGGTTGGTATGGGACGAGGCACAGCCAGTACACTCCAGAATCTTTGGCCCACTGTTGTGTTGTATTGTATTGTTGATCAGGTGAAGTGTAAGCTGTTATCCCTTTGGACTTCTCTTGGGCAGCCATAAGCAGCGATGATCTTCTGGAGCATTCGGAGCATTGCAGCTTGATCTGCGCATTTGCAAGAATAGACCAAGTCCTGAATAGGTGTCCACTGTAGTGCAACGATATCTCAGTCCATTGATTCTCCAGGGCAGGGGACCGATGAAATCAATCTGCCAAATCTCTACAGGCCTCTCGCCCCTCTTGATTGTCCCTGTGGGATACTTTTCTAGTGGCCATTGTCGCACTTCTTCACACACTGTATTGTGTTCTATTAGGGTCTTTATCATGTCCATGGTTATAGGCAATGCTCTCTGCTACACTCATTAATCTGTAGTTTTCTGTGCCACATGTCCTGATTTTCTTGTGGGCCCTGTTGGCCAAGTTAATCAAGACAGGATCAACTGGCAGAACTGCAGTCACCTTGGAAATCTCATCTGCCACTTTTAGTTCTCGAAGTCTTGGCCCCACTGCAAGGGTTAAGATTTGATTTGCCCAAAGTTCTCCTTTTAAAGACCACCCAGCTATCACTGTAGTTAGGGAGCCGCTTCTGATCCAGGATGGTTGAGCGGGAGAAGAGAGGAGACGCGGGGAGGAGAGAGCAGAGACGCTCTGTCAGTTTCAGGATGACAGCACCTCTGTGCGTGGCTGAGCAGAGGATCAGTAAATATCTGTAATATTTATTGATTTCTCTGTGCAGAGCAAACACTGGAGTGATCATGTGAACACTCCAATGTTTGCAAACAACTGGTACTAGTACTAAGTGTCACCAGTTATGAATGAACAGGAAATCCTTTACATCACTTCCTGTTGATTCATTAGTTTCTCAATGGGGAGAAGCACTCGCTACAGAGGCTTCTACCCATCCAGAAACTGGTTGATAGTAAATGTTTTACATCAAATGTTTTACATCAGTTTCTGAATGAATGGGAAGCCTCTGTACTGAGAGCTTTCCATTTTTTTAGAACAGAGGCTGCAGAAAGAGATTGAGGAATCTATGTTCTCAATCTCTTTTTCTATTTCAAAAAATAAATGTCAGGGATCTGTTTAGACCCCTAATATTTCCCTGAAGCCCCCCAAACAGTAAAAAAAAACAAAACACAACCCCCTTACACACACACATTATTTCATTTACGTGCAACAGTGTGCACTATATTGTGGTATACAACATGCACATGCACTGCGGTGCGTTTTTTTTCCTTTTTTTTTTAAATGACACTTTAGGGGGGTCTTACAAATGCTAGCAACGCAGCGATAGAAAGTCAAAACAATGGGTAAAATTGCAAAAATGGTGTGGTCTGCAGAGGTGTAAAGTGTTTCCGGAGGGCTTGACATCACAAAGGGTTAATGGTATGGCTGTTGAAGCCCATGTCTTGCGGCACATAGACTTGTCAAACTCTTTCACTTCTATGCATCTTAATGCTTGGAAGTGGACCTCTTTCAAGGTCAACCATTGCACCTGGAAGGTGTATTTCGCTTAGTGCAAAGCCAGGAAGTTCCATCCTAGGAGGTACTGCATGGGACGCATTTAATCCTTTCTCCAGTCTCTTTGACCGGCATTTAGCCGTGAGTACTGTCAAGGGGCAGATTTCTGCCTTGGCTATTCTCTTCCAGAGACCATGTGCAGGTTGTTGCTGAAGTTGTTTACCTTGTATGTGTCCCAGTGACTCCATGGCCCTATATTACTTCTACTAGGTAACACTCAGAATAAGCAGCTTTCTCCCGCTTATGGATTACCCTCTGCAGTATTCCATAAGGATAAAACTGTGCTGAGCCCTAAGCCCTCCTTTCTCCCTAGAGAGGCCTCTGCCTTCCACCTTAACCTGGATATTATTTTGCCCTTGTGTCCTACACTGTAACCTCCCAAAGAATTTTCCCTCCACTGTTTGCAACCGCTTCCATCAGGCTTCAATTTCTCACATCTGTAAGATCGCCAACTGGCCTTCTGTACACACGTTTGTCAAGTTCTACCCAATGTACGTTCAGGCCTCCTACGGGTGCCAGTTTTGGTCTGAAGGTCTTTCAGGCAGCCTTCTGGCTTCAGATATGCTTCTTGTTCCCTGTTGGGGTTTTTGTTCCTTAGTCCTTGTAGCCATTTGCATTGCTGCCTGTCTCTGTTAGACTGCTTTTGAACAATCCAGTGGTTAAAGAATTTAACTTTGGCTTGTAGTGTATGATCAAATTTACCTGTGTGTTACCTGTAAAATCCTTTTCTTAGAGTACATCAAGGACAAATAGCCCTCCCCTCTGTATTCTGTGATCCATTCTGTGAAAAAAAAAAAAAATAGAGGCAAAAAAAAAAAAAAAAAAAAATGAAGCAGGCTAGGAGTGGAAGGGGTTATGCAGGGCTGTCCTGCAGCTTTGATTGATTGATTTGCAAGAGTCCAATCTGAAGGTAGCTGTGTAACCCAGTGGTTATCACTGTGTCCTGTGATGTAGTAGGAACAGATTTTATAGTTAAGACAGAAATCTTGTTTTCACATAATACACAGCATGGTTGGGAGGATGCTAAGAGAATTACTTATACAGAATGGGTACAGTTTAGCCACTTCTGGAGGCTGTAGTCTAGCATATAATTTTGTTTCTTTTCTTCTTTTTTTTTATTTTAGGAATTAAAAGATATGTAGCAGGAGCTATGGGTCCAACGAACAAGACATTGTCTATTTCTCCATCTGTTGAAAGACCAGATTACAGAAATATTAGTAAGTACATGGTTTATGAAACTTGCCAACTTTTTATTTCAATGCCAAAAAAACTGTTAAATGATTCCTGAAGCTCAACAGCTGATGCATGGTAGCAGTGGCGCCCGGGGCAGAATTTTTTTTGCCCTCCCCATTATATAAAAATCCACCGGAACTGTACCCCCCATCCCCCACAAAATGAACAGGAATCCTCTGAGTGTTCCTGTTCATTGATAACATAGTATGTTTACTATAACCACAATTATGAATGAACAGGAGTGGATATAGATCACTTCCCTTTCATTCATAATTGAGGATACAGTAACCATACCACATCCTCAATTATCTACAAACACTCAGCGATCACTGCGATTTACTCTCCTCTCTGACACGCTGTCACAGGAGGCTGAGCGAGCGGTGCAGGGAGGAGAGCTCAGCCACCTGTGACAGCATTGTCTCCACCCCCACACCGCTCTGCCGCACTGTGATAGGTGGCTGAGCGGTGTGGGAAGAGAGACACCGGCCGATCACGGCGGTCTCCTCCCGCAGCGCTCGGCCGGCTGTCACTTTCTCTCCTCCCTGCTGGGACAAAGAGCAGCGCCCAGCGGGGAGGAAAGAAATCACGGCTACACCAACCAAACGGCAGGCATTTAGCCAAAAGTGCCATTTTCGGCCGCAAGGTTGTTACGCCACTGCATGGTAGAAAAAAGACTTGAAATTCTGCCAGGTTTTTATCACTGTTATTTTCCCTACGGCAGACATTTGTTTTCACATTTCATGTGAAGGTAAGGGATGATCTGCCCAAAGAGGATTAAAATCTGTGTTGACATTAGCGATGTCCCTAACTTTCTATTTGGGCACAGTGACAGGCAGAGGCGGCTCTAGACTTTGCGAGGCCTTTGGCGAAACTTAAACATGAGGCCCCACTCACGCCCATAATAGAAAAATTGATGGCTGTGCAAGGTCTTGGGAGGCTGTGCAAGGTCTCAGGTGGTCTGTGTGTAGTCACAGAAGGCCGTGCAGGGTCTCGTGGGCAGGTGTGGGTGGCACTATTTCAGGAAGGAGAAGGTGTGCGGCTGGCGCTGTAACTTGGCACTGCAATTCACAGGAAGGTTGAAGTCCCGCGCTTGCTGGGGACCTCGGCAGCCTTCCTGTGAACTAACGCGCCTGTTTAAAGCGCTGCCTCCAGTTTAAAAATGTAAAGCGCCAGTATCACATCCTGTAATGTTGCAATCAATTTGTGTGTTCGATATGTTTCCACAAGCACTTAACCCTTTCGCTGCCAAGGACGTACGGCATACAGAGGAACAAAAGTGTTCCCTGCTGGCCAGCTCAGTATGCCGTACGGACCTGGCATTTACAGTTCTACTATAAGCTAATGGTTGCTTTAGCGACCATGACCTTATAGTAGAACTGTTCCCTGGACTGCCCCCTTCAAATTAATAGCTGTCATCAGCGGCTCACAAGCCGCTGATGACTGCTATTACCAAAAATACCGGGCGCTGGTATTTATCATTGATATTTAACGATCCCTCTGTGCAGAGCAAACACCGGAGTGATCGTCTGATCGCTCCGATGTTTGTAAATAACTGTGGACACATAGTACTGTGTCCCCAGTTATGAATGAACAGGCCGTGATTTAAATCACAGCCTGTTCATTCAAGAATTTATGAATGGGGAGTAGCACTCACTACAGATGCTCCTCCCCATTCATAAACTAAATGATAGTAAGATATTTTTACTATCATTAGTTTCTGAATGAATGAGAAGCCTCTGTACTGAGTGCTTCCCATTCATTGAGTGCTGGGGCTGCAGAAAGAGAAATTGAGGACTCTATGTCCTCAATTTCTTTTTCTATTTCAAAAGGGAAATGTCAGAGGTCTATTTAGACCCCAGATATTTCACCGCAGCCCCCCCAACAGTAAAAAAAAAAAAATTATGAGAAAATAAATAGAAAATGTAAAAAAAATAATAATTAAAAAATAAATAAAAAATGTAAATTTTTTTTTTAAAAATGTGTAAAAAAAAAAAAGCACAACCCCTTCCTCTCCCCACATAACATACACATATTGAGGTGTACGCCATGTGCTGCAGTGCGTTGTTAGAATGCATCGACCGCTCGCTGCTTCGGGCGTGCCGCTCGTGCCCTCGAGCGTGGTAGTCCCAACCTGACCTCAACATCCACCTCCAAGCTAGCTTCCGCACTAGTGGTTTCCCCCGGACAATCCCGGCCTGACAGCTTCAACTGTTCACCGCAGCTCCCCCACACACACACAAACACAGATCTCAGGTACACATCCACCAGCAGCTAGCACGTTTTAAACAGCCAAAAAAATTTTTTCTCCCAAACCCGAGCCGCCCCCTCAGATCCCAGCCACATTAAACGTCGGACCCAGTTCCCCTTTTGACATCTTAGTCTTTCCAGCACCAACGATTTACACATTAGCCTGCCCATCACCACCAGCAACCCTTCATCCAGACCTTACCGCTGACAACGCGCTATTACCCACACCCTGGTAAGTCTCATTCGATTATTTTCTCCTGCTCAGTCACTACTTGGTAGTGCGCTTCTGCATTTTTTATGTTCTCTATCAGCAAAACGTTGGACACCCCGGTCCGCAATCTTTAGGAGCCGCACACTTAGTAACGCAAGCGATATTTGTTCACCCTCACCTCAGGGGCAGCGCTGTAATAGAGGACATTTCTCCCAACTTTTTTAGTGAGTGAATAGCCGAATTCCCGCCGAGCGCCATTTGGCTCAGCTATTCTGCTCGGTACCTCTGTGGCACCAAGCAGAATAGAAAAAGTAGGAAAAAAAAGGAGAAAATGATTGGGTGGAGCTAGCAGTGACAGTTTTCAATTGGATGGGACCAGCTGTCATTACAATGAGAGCTTGTCGGAGCCGGCGGTGATATCAAAGCCGGCTCCGACAAGCTCTCATGACAGTCCAGCGTCTCCTGGTTACTAGGTAACCAGGAGATGCTGAACTGTCCTTACAAACTGAGAACCCGGCAGAGCCGCTGTGATATCATGGCAGCTCCGCCGGGTTCTCAGTGTGTAAGGACAGTCCAGTGTCCCCTGGTTACTAGGTAGTGAGTGTACAGCTTGTATATCAGTGTACATTTGCTGTCCCCTCAAAATTAATGTCTAAACCGCTGGCAACAAAAGTGAGTACACCCCTAAGTAAAAATGTCTAAATTGGGCCCAAAGTGTCAATATTTTGTGTAGACAACATTATTTTCCAGCACTGCCTTAACCCTCTTGGGCATGGAGTTCACCAGAGCTTCACAGGTTGCCACTGGAGTCCTCTTCCACTCCTCCATGACGACACCACAGAGCTGGTGGATGTTGGAGACCTTGCGCTCCTCCACCCACTGTTTGAGGATGCCCCACAGATGCTCAATAGGGTTTAGGTCTGGAGACATGCTTGGCCAGTCCATCACCTTTACCCTCAGCTTCTTTAGCAAGGCAGTGGACGTCTTGGAGGTGTGTTTGGGGTCGTTATCATGTTGGAATACTGCCCTGCGGCCCAGTCCCCGAAGGGAGAGGATCATGCTCTGCTTCAGTATGTCACAGTACATGCTGGTATTCATGGTTCCCTCAATGAACTGTAGCTCCCCAGTGCCGGCAGCACTCATGCAGCCCCAGACCATGACACTCCCACCACAATGCTTGACTGTAGGCAAGACACACTTGTCTTTGTACTCCTCACCTGGTTGCCGCCACACACGCTTGACACCATCTGAGCCAAATAAGTTTATCTTGGTCTCATCAGACCACAGGACATGGTTCCAGTAATCCATGTCCTTAGTCTGCTTGTCTTCAGCTAACTGTTTGCGGGCTTTCTTGTGCATCATCTTTAGAAGAGGCTTCCTTCTGGGATGACAGCCATGCAGACCAATTTGACGCAATGTGCGGCGTATGGTCGGAGCACTGACAGGCTGACCACCCACCCCTTCAACCTCTCATATGACAACCTCTGGATATGACGCTGAGCACGTGCACTCAACTTCTTTGGTCGACCACGGCGTGGCCTGTTCTGCGGCGTGGCCCATACAGCGGTTTAAGTGTTTACCCACCACTTTCCTTCCCACTGTAATACATACATAATGCCCCCCCCCAGACATAATATATTATGCTTCAACCACCATCAATTTTTTAGTTCATTTAACTTTTATTTTTTTTAACTTTTTTAATTTTAGTTTATTGACCTTTTATTTTTCTGCATTTTTACTTTTTTTATATAAGTTTTTAACATTATTTTTAATGTTTTTGTAGGTTTTTTTTAAATTTTTTTTTAAATTTTTTTTTAAACTTCTTTTTTTTTTCATTACTGGGAGCAATAGCCAGCCTGCTACTGGATATTTCAAACTTCAATAGCCAATAACAGGCTGGCTATGGCAATCAGCAGAGGAGGGACCTGAAGGAGAAAGTTCCCCATCAGGTCTTCTACTGCTGATTGACAGCAGGCAGTGGGCGGGTGCAATAGCCAGCCTGTTATTGCTCGTGGGGGGGGCGGAGGGGTGAGTAGACGGCACGGGGACGGAAACTCACAGATTGTCAGCAGTTTCCTTACAGGCTGTAATCGGCTGTCTGTCCCCTTTGACACAGATCGCTGCAGCTGATTTACAGACTGTAAGGTAACTGCTGACAGTCTGTGAGTCTCCAGCGGGGGAGAGTGCTGGCACTGCTCACTTTGCTTCGGACAGGGGTGACGGGAGTCCTTTAACACTGCTGTGCACAGGCAGCATTGGGAGCCCTGTCACACCCAAGCGTGCATCGCAGCCGCCGAATATCTCATGATAAAATGAGATGCTCGGCGGCTGCGATGCACGATTAGAGGTGACGGCTCCTAAAGTGCGAAGGACTCCTGTCACACTCCTGTAGTGTATCAGGCAAATTAGGCGCGATGCCCTTGCGAAGGCGAGGCCTTAGGCGGCAGCCTAATTAAAGAGCCGCCTCTGGTGCTGGGGAACTCAGGGGAAAAGCTCAACAATGGAAACGCAGACAGCAGTTTAAAG